TTGTCTTGACATACCCCTGTGCACGTTATACTAGTATGAGATGCACAGAAATAATTGCATTTAAAACATGCATTTAAATGTAATTAATGATACAATCATACAAATTGTCATATTGAGAGCATCCATTGTGCCCTACATTCTCTGCTGATTGCATCAATTTGCTCAGAGAGGGGAACGCACTCCTCTGCTATCTAAAAGCAGCAGGTAAAAGAAGCAGCTGAATGTGTCAAAGAGAACTCAATAAATAATGGATGTCATGAAGCTTCTGTGGAAGCTGTCGGCTTTGAAATCCACTCCCTGGTTGAGTCACACTCCCAGTTCGCTCCCTTCATTTTACATTTAACGGGCCCTGTGCTGTATAACCATCATCTCAAACACACACGCATATACCTCATCTCTGGCTGGTGCTGTCTGAGGCAGTTAGTGCTGGGGAGGTGCTGAGCTCAGAGCTACCAGGCAGGTGTTGTGTCCATCTTAGGGGCTCACGTCTGCATACATCAGCTTCAATTTCACCCTCGGTTCTCGGGGTTTGAGAGCTTGCTTGACACCCACAGCAAGACAGCAGACAACAGCATCAGCTGAAAGGAAAAATAAACAGCTGCATGAACCTCTCTTGGACCGAGTCCACAATGAAAATTATAGGGTTTCTCTAAAACCTCAGAGGTTAACTGGTTTTCTTTTGCAGAAGCAAAGTGATCTCTGAGCTCCGAAAATGGTGCTGTCTGTTCATGCTCATAAGTGGCTGGAGAAAGCTTTCAGCTGTAGATGTCCCAAATGTCTAAACCTCAAAACAATTTATTTTCCAGTTCTGCTGACAATAACAGAAGACAGAAGGTGCCCTGGTATTAAATACCTCATTAAATTCAAAGCAAACAAATTGATTTTATGTCCCCAAATGACTCTAATACAACTCTTATAAGCCTGAATGATGGAAATAACTGTTTAAATGTGCTCAGACTTTAATTTGAAAAAATATTCATCTCTCCCCCCTCCAACAGAAAATCTAAAATGCATGCTGTGAGCTCCACATGTCAGGCTCTTGCACAGATGGATCAAAGTTAGCAGGATAAACGGCTCCCCTTGCCTTTGATAATAATTAATTACACACTCAAGCAAAAACAAATGCATATGCAGGTGCCATACTAAATGTGAAGGGATTGTGCCTCTCCCAGTAACACCCAGAGATATACAGTACCCTTTTTCACATCATATCATTATTTTCTTACAGTGTTTGCTTGTTACCATAAAAAGAATGAAGAAATGTCTTTTTAGATCAAATAGGAAGTCTCAGTCTTTCTAAATGAGAAAAACTGAATGTGCTTTACAGTTAAAGAAGGACTTGCTACTGCTGTTCTTTGTGCATTTGTTAAAAATGTATGCATTTCTTTGCAGAGAGGGAAAGAAACAGCAGAGAATATTCTCCTCGTCTCCAATATGAGACCATTGTCCTTCAGCTATAATGTGAATCATCTGGCTGCCAAACTGGGAAAGAAAGAACACTGGCTAAAGGCCACTTGTCTTTTCACTGAGCCCAGACCATGTTTGTACTGTCAGCCCTGGACAGCTCAACAGACTCACATGCCACTTCTGTATCATGTGAAGGTGAATCTAAAAATACATACACATTCAGAAATATTGATATCATTGAGTTTAAATTTTGATGACTGGACCACATCTACTAAAATCATGCTTTGCTGTACTGCGAAACCAATGACCATGAAAATGCAAAATGATCATTTCTATCTCAGTGACCATTAGACCCTATGAGTAAACATTTGGGAAAATAATAGTGTCCTGCCCATGCTTAATGTAAGTAAAGTGGCACTTTACTAGCAGTGGTTGATTGTCCCCTCATACAGCAGTTGTTTTGGGGATTACACAGTTTAACCTTCTTCTATAGCAACAGACTTCACTGTGAATACCATATTTTTAAAAAATTGCTCATTTGCTTTTTAGCTGAGTTTCATGAGAAAACTGAGTGGATGTTAATAACCTGTAGATGGAGTCAGCCAGTTACAAAATCTGCATACCAGCACTTCCAAAGCTTTTGTAATTAACACGTCTCCTTTGTTCAATCAGTTGAAAAAACTGGAGTGCAAAAATTACACTTACAAGTTTTTCTTTCTTTCTTTCTTTTTTTTTTTTACACTGGCCCCTAAAGGCAAAACACACTGAAAGTAGAAACATTATGGAAAACAAAAATGATACAAATGGGGAAAACACATGCAAAAAGGAAACTCTTTCCTCAGTTATATCTATTTTTATCGAACCATAACCCAATCTAGCACAGATTCACAGTGCAAGTCATCTCAGGAAGCTCCATACAGTAAGGTCAAAACATTACAATACTAAAAAGATAAACTCAACAATTCCCTTTGAGCAAGTACATGGTGACAGTCAGGCTGTTGTGCTGTCTCACTTCATTTTTTAGCATCGAGCTTCTCATTTAAGTTAAAGCTGAACTGTGGGACTTTCACATGTAAATACATATTGTTCATATTCAAGTTCTCCCCCAACAGGCTCACACAATGCTGACTAAGACTGTCAGACAAATGTCTGCATCTCACAGTATAGCACAGTTTTAAATCTCTTTTCTACACTGATATTCCCAAACTGGACCAGCAAGGTCCCCTTCACGATTAGAAACAATGACCAAACACCAACTCGCCAAATTTTAAGTTTTGCAAAAGGTTTAGCTTCTGCAGTAATCCAACCTTGCTCCTTTTTTTCTCCGTACATTAACCATTTTAATCACAGAGCTCGCCTCCCTGCCTGCAAATGTTCCACCAAAACAATTCCCCCCAACACTGTTTGGAGGGTGAACCATTGCTGCATCCTGGACTGAGCATCACCCAAGATAATTGTGATTGGTTTAAAGAAATACAATTTTGACTCACCCAATAAAGGATGCAGATACAAACCTACCATTGGCCCCTCTGGCAGCTTTGACCTTTCCTTCCACTATCTGCGTGTTACCATTTTAAAGCTATGAGAAACAACAACCACCTCAGGGCTACCACACTGAAAATTTCAAGCTTTGTTCTGTATCATGGAAAAACACAGAGTGAAGAACCAAAAGTGCAAACACGGACAACTGATGTAAAAATGAACAAAAAGAAAGCTTTAATCCCAAGGCGATATAAAAAAATAAAAAACACAAACTAAAAAATAGAAATAAAACAAACGCACAGGTAGAAAGCAAGAGTAAAACAAAAATCCAAAAGGGAACAAAAACATGGAATAATGAAACACTAAAGATTCACTGGGCACACAGATAATGCTGAGAAGACGGCACAAGACAAACTGGCAAACAACATGAGAGAAAGCGTGAGTATTTATATACACACTGGGGCAGAGAAGACAATCACACACAGGTGGAGCACATTGGGGCGGGGCAGGGGAAAGCAGACAAAGAGCAGGAAGTGTAAAGACACCTAAGTACAAACACATGACAGGAAATACCAAAATAAAACAGGAAATAAATTAAACCAGAACTAACAGTGGGAGCTGGACATGACCGTATGGCAAGCTGGCCTTGCTAGTTTTTTTATTTTTTAGTGGATTATCTATTTTTGACCACAGTGCTTGCCTCCCTGCATGAAAATGTTCCACCACAACAATTCCACCAGTCACTATTTTGAAGGACTCCTGAACTTCATGACGGAGGATTTGAGAAATACAAACAAGCCAGAATATCTCCTCCGTCTACATAGCAGAATTATAATTGGGCGCAGTCAGACCATTCTACACAGCACTGCGTCAGCATTAGATAATGGTTTGACAAATGGTGTGTGTCCACAGGGGCATTTTGTTTTTTTTTTTACACTCGAGACATTGTGCCATTTCCCAACATCACACACTTTATGTCACGAGTGAGCCACATGGGTAATGTGATGACATGTGCTTACCTTCATCCGGAAACCAGCCGGGTACAGGTGTCGGCTGTAGCTGGCTCGCAAACTTTCTATTTTATTACGAAAACAGTTCAGCAAAATACATTTCTGAAAACATCTGAGGTGAGAAATAAGCTACGCAGTTGCTAAGTAGTTAGTTTAGAGGTTTGACAAAAGTTTCGCGAGGCATCTGATCTCCGCTCAACGGTTCAGGTAATGCAGTGCGCCTTCGCACAAAATGCGATGTGATGCTACTGGGCGGCTGTGGCTCAGGTGGTACAGCCTCTTGCCCTCTGATCGCAAGGTTGGTGGTTCAATCCCCTGACCCTCCACAGTCAAAGTGTCCTTGGGCACGTCACTGAACCCAAAGTTGCTCCCAATGACAGGCTAGCACCTTGCATGGCAGCCATTGATGTATGAATGATTTATGAATGTGTGTGTGAATGGGTGAATGAGAAAACACTGTAAAGCGCTTGAGTACCACAATGGTAGAAAAAGCGCTATATAAGTGCAGACCATTTACCATTTACCAGAATGGACTGTGAGGCATTTCACACAGACAGTGAATATTAAGCGTTAAAATGTGGGATCCTGTGGACCATTCGTGAGACTAAACTCAAGTGAGCTTGTTTGCAAAACACAGCTACCTTTGACTTAATTGGCAAGGGGACATTTATCTTGCAGCCACGACACATACAAACACAACAGGCCCCACAATGTGTGTAACATTAAAGTTAAACATTCAAAAAATAACATGAAACATAAAAACATGTAATAGCACACGTAAAGAAGGGCTGTATCTCTTGAGAACCATAATGTATAACAATTGAGGATACAGCTGGAGACATTTAACAGGTTTCAAAGGAGAAGCAGGAAATCAAACTCACGCTCTCAGATCCCTCCGCCTAATTGACTCCCGGTGTGAGCCGCTGCACCTGCTTCCACGCTGCTTCTCCCTCCGCCTCCGCCGCAGCGCCTCCTCCCGCACCGCTGAGCGGAGCGTCAGCGTCTCTTTCTCCCCCCTCCAGCTCCAAGCTGCATGTCTGCGAGGGCTGCTCGGCGCCGGTGGGGAAACATATCGATTATCGATGCCCTCCACCTAACGTGACAAATTTTCATACAACTGCCTGAAATACCTGCCGAAGCCATGGGGCCGTTTGGAGTGATAATAGGGATTTTACAGTACGCGGGACTTTACATTCAACTTAACGCAGCTCTCAACGACGGTCACGGAGAGGTGGATAATCACATCTCCGGAAACGGTAAGTTGTTTTATGTCTGTGTCTGTTGCAGGCAGCTGGACTGGAGGATGGAGAGCTTAATATTGTTGCATTGAGTGTAGTGTGAAGTGTCTGGGTGGGGTTCAGTGAACAAGGGTTGTTCCTGATTTCATTTTTTATTTTATATTTTTCATTATTAAGATGGACATGCGGACTAATTTTGCAGCCTTATTTGTCAGCACTGATGAGTTCCAACACCTTGGGTGGGTTAAATACAACTTAAATATCGCACTTTTCTCTCTGTTTTATTGTGTCTGCACCAAAGTGGTTGAATAGGATGAAATATTATGATCTCCGTGAATACTAAAGAGCACTTTTAATAACTCATTAAGAGGCTCCACATCCCACTTTCACAGCCTGCATTCAAATTGCTCATAACCTGCTTGGGTTGACAAAATCAGGTGCAGCATTTTTTTTTTCAACCTGTGCTCATTGAGGCATCTCATCACCTGCAGACCAAAGTCTTTTCAACGCGGTTGTGTGTTTAATTATTTCTGCATGAAAAATAACTCTGTGGAATGTTAATATATCCTTTGTTTTAATGTCAGCGCAGTTTTCCTTGGAAATGTAACAGGAAGTAAGACTGGTCTATCCTATAATAACATCAACCAAACATGAGAGTTTATGCACTCAAGATTTGCACCAAAGACCTGCAAGGAATTTTAAAGATAGTCCTTGGTGCATCTGTATGAGATTGTGTTTTCTGCTACATAGATAAACATAACATTGAATCAATTCAGGAAAATATCAACAAATCTTCTGTGTATTCTTACTTTACACATAACTGACACGTCTTACCCCAAGGCTCAGCTTTGCACACAGTACACAACGAAAATCTCCCTCGAAAACCAGTTCTTTTCGTTATTGAATTTTTGTTTATTTCGACAATTTAGTGCTTTACTTTCAGAAATGCTCTTAATCCAGCCACGAATCCAATCTGAGATGAGGCTCCCAGAATCCCCCGTTTTTCTGATTATTTGTTTGTTTTCTAGCTAATTCAGATTGACATACAAGAAACCTGAGGAAAAAGGGAAAGGGGATAACATGCTATAGGCCCCAGGTTAAAATCGGATTACAGTAGATGGTACAGTATGTGCCTGACATACACATTGTGTAGAATTAAGGGAGGCAGAACTGTATTTGAAATTATTCTCCGCTGAGCATTGCATCTCAGTAAAATCCTGTGTTTGATGCCGAACATGAGTTCAGTTGTGACGGTTTAACCAAAAGTGTACAAGTCCAACAGCGCAGGATGTCAACTAATCAAATTAACAACCAGAATAATTAGTTGTTATTTAGTGTGAGTTACAACAAAATGGAAACTGCTGTGTTACGGCTAACGAAAGTGAACTGTAAGAGCAAAAAAAAAAAAAAAAAAAAAAATGCACAAGGGCATGCATGTTCTGGAGACAAATTACCACTCCTGTAGGCACCCAAAGGAGAGGGGGGACTTGTGCTGTTCTGTGTGCTTTTTTAATGGAGGTGGGTAGAAGCTCGAGATGCCCTGTTACTGTACTGAAGCACCCTCTCCATATTTCATATTTACAGCTGGGTGCCTCTTGTTGAAACAAAAAAAAGAAAAACAGAGCCCGAGTTAGCAAGAGTTCAGTGTTCCTCAGGGGATGGTGCTTAAGAGTATACCACTTCTGCTGTTGAGTTCTGGAGAGCCAGGTGTGCTTGCTTTTATTAGGCAGATTTATTAGTTGCTGACACCAAATTGCAAATTACATTCAGTGTCATTCGCTGCTGATGTACCTCCATGTGAAGGAGAAAGATTCCTGATTGTAAAAATAGCGTGTGAAGACTGCAGTAAAATTGCATTGTCTTTTAATTAATGGACTCCCACATATAGCAAAATGATAGGCAGTAGTAATAGCTTTAAAATGAAAGAGTAACATCAGGATGATTCAGATCCAGTAACACATTAGCCTGCTTTGAATTGAAATGTCGAAATCCGTTTTCTATACTGCAGACAATTGTGCAGTGTAAATCTTGTATTTTTACTGGACGGAGATGGAGACCACAGTCTCTGAGTGAAGGCATCCTTAAATAAATATATTTAGAAACTTCATAATAACTTGGTACCATTCCGTCACGGCTTTAATTTTAATCTCGGATTAACTTAATGCTGTTAAATTATATGAATGTGGTATACCTGTTTTTGCAGTAACATTCTATTATTTGTATTAGCAACAGTTTTCTAAGCATAATTGGCATTTTTACCCTCCAGCAATTTTCCCACTTTTCTCCTGAAGCTCCAAACATAGATTTAGTGTTATCTAATTAAACTGTGTGATAACCAATGCATTGTCTCACCAGATGTCCCTCGAGCCGGCTCTGTTTAGCAAGTTAGCTTTAGTTCGATCATTCTAAATGAGTGTGCTGTGCAGTGGTTCCGAATGGATTGACTGTCTTGGACAGGTTAGAAAATCAATTAGTAACATTTCTCCCACAGGGAGTTAATTAAAATTGGCTGTAATTGTTGTGTTCTCTTTCCCACTCCATGTGTCGGATTGGCCATAAAGAAGAAATGCCTCAGGGTGCTTGACAAGAATGAAAAACTAGATTCAGAAAACAAACTAAAAGCATTGTATTTTCACTTTTGAACAATAGCATCTCCTGCAACAGAAAACAGTCGTGGCATCCTTTGTGGTTAAGTAATTCTCAGGAGATTTTTTTTTTAATCATGCTCTTTGATAAATTGCCCAAGCAGAGGGGAGCTGAGCCTTCATGCAGAGCAGAGAGGCTGGATGCACCGTTCTGGAGAGTGCTTGTTAGATTCAGCCCTGACTCATTTGTTTCAGATAAGTGCATCTGGCCCCTGCACCCCAGTTTCCACTTGAGCTGAAGTGTAGATCGAATCACCTGCGACGCAAAATTATATGTTCTGTGTGAAGAAAAACGACCCTGTTAGATGGATCAGCGGCATCACCTCATTGTTTGCCACATACATCAGAGTATGACTCTTACCTGCCACAAGTGCATGGAGGTCAAGTCTCAGCAGTGAAGACAAAGGAGGACGCTAAGAGTAACTGTTGTTTGTGCACATGCGTGAGCTTTTTCGTCCTTGGAGAGAACATAAAACACAAAGTGATGGTTTCATCATCTGTAGGGAACCCTACAATTCCAGCATAAGACCTTGCAATGTTAGTGCTCTTTGGCAGAGTTCATCCTGTTATCCATTGTGAGCGTAGCACTTTCACAGTGTGGGGGCGTGTACCAATTCATTAGGCGTCCAAAGTGTCTGGGATTCTCTGCCAGTCCTCTGCTTGGTGTCTTCTTAATGAGGACGGCCAGCCCAGGCAGTTTGCATTGGCTTTCAATTTAATGGAGCTCTGACAGTGTAAAAGTGTGTGGGGGGGCAACAGATTGTACAGTCATGCTGTCACAGCAGAGGGTGCTGGCGGAGGCTCGGTAGGAAAGAGCAGAACAGTGAACGAATGGTTGAAACAAAGCACTCCTTGAGAGGATGCACGAGACCGGAGTAGATTTAACACGTCACAACTTGAAAGGACGACTGCTTCCTCCAGTGACGCAGAAGTCTCGAGAGATTCTCCAGTGTGAACTAGTTGAAAAAAGTGTTCGTCTCATGTGACTCTTTAAAAAGCAGCATGACTGCAGCTGCGGCAGCAGTAGTGGTTGTTGAAGCTGCTGATTATTTTCTCCAATAAATGATGGTCACCTTATCAATAAAATATTCAAAGAAAGGACAAATGGTCATCACATTGCTCATGTTTTTTTCATGTGACTAACAATCCAAACTCAGTTGTCCAGTACTCACATATTGGAAGCTTTTTTTTTTTAGTATGTTTTTTGGATTTAAAAAATCAAAAGATAATTTGATTAGTTAAATTGTTTACAGCTCTCTGAAATTTGTTCTGAACCACCAGAGAAGAAAGAAGAAGAAAGCATGTTTTTGTCATTGGGAAAAAGATCTTCGAAAACTGAAATCACCACCCCTTAAAAAGCTAAGCAGGAAACATAGACATACATAAGATGCATCACCCCTAGGTGTCATGGACAGCAGTTTGGAAGCCCATTGTGGTGGTTTTGGGCTGTCTTCTTCTTGCCAGTGCCTGACTCCTCCTAACTCCAGAAATGAGGAAAGAGGAGGAGTGTGAATGAAGCCGAGGCGAACCATAGACTGCCCTTTAAAGGCATCAGTTATAACAGCCACTCCCTTAGTTATGCACACTTTTAAGCCTTAATGCAATTTAAATAAATAACTTGGATAAAACAACACCCCCTGTTTAGAATTCCTGAACAGGTAAATGAGCTATAGAGACCAAGACAGTTTTTTGTAAATATGTTTATTTCAACTGGAAAGTTGAGTATTTTACCACATGGGTTTGTGGGTATTGACTCACCTTTGAAACCAGCCTCTAGTGACCATTTAATGAACTGCAGTTTTTGTACAGTTCTTTGTTGACTTCATTTTTCAGCCCTGGGGGTTGCTGCTTAGGAGAAAAAAATCAAACAATCACATGTAGCAGTGAGCCTGAGAAATTTAGCATTGTGTGGACCTTGTCTTTGTACTGGTAGTGTACATTGTGAACTGGGAGACCTTCAACATTTAAGGTGCGGAAAGTAAAACACATTTTTTTGGATTGGCAGCATGTAGTCCATTGTAGTGATTTTATAGGCTGAATTAAAATACCGTATGTTACCATAACATTTAATTACTTATCATACTTGATTGCCACTCCAACTGAAATGAAAATGCATCATCTTTAATTCAGCGTAGTGGCTTGGTTCTTTGAAACTGGACACATCACACTAAGCAGAGAGTTCCTGCACTCATCTGTTCCATTTCAAGGAAAACACAAACACCATCACTTAAATGTTCTCAAGGGCAGCATAGTCGAACAGAACATAATGTTGTCTTTCATCACTAGGGAGTCCAGATGGAGTACAGTGTGCAATCTCGTAAGTGCCTCCGAGCCCTGGTATGTGTTGTCAACAACACGTGCGACTTCATGTCG